GTTTTGAGTGAATATCGCTGTCGATTTCGTATTCTGAAGATTGTCACACTTTTGGACATCGATCCGCGCTCGAATGTGAACGTTGTGGAGACAATCAACAGCGAAATGGAAGCACTTAAAGAGTAAGTATTGTCGAGTAAATTCGATTGACTGTTTTTGGAGAGTTTGAGAGAAGTGGATTGGTGTAATGGTGTGAAATTTACGGATGAAAAAGTAACTTTTTGATTGTTTTTTTTGGAATTTTCCATGTAATTTTGGCCGCTTCGGTAACAGGTACGTGGTATGTATGACGGTTCATGAATCTGAATTTGGAGTGCATGCATATGGTGCATATGATTTGGAGTTGCATGAAGTAACTAGGGTATAGAAACGCGCATAGGTAGATGAATTTTGTGCGAGAAGGGAAAATTGGGTGATGTAGCGATAATGAATGAAAGTTGATGAATTCATTATCGGTATCGGAAAGAAATGTGTGTCTTTGTGAATGTAATATTGATTTGGGTGATAAGTTTTAGTGAATGTTTAAAGAAATTTTAAGAGAAATTTTGGTTAAGAAATTTTGCTTATTGTTGTTGTCATTATTGGATTATCATTCCGTGCAGAAGTGGTGTTGATTTGAAGGCAGTTAGCTGTGTTGGACGTGCAGCCATCGGAGTCGATGACACAAACACTGAGTGCGATTTCGGAACAACTCGAGCAATCGTCAACTGAGAAGAGCATCATAGGAGGCAGAGGCCTTTTGAGTGCGTTCCATTCGGGTGCCACTCTTATTCCACCCGATAAACCGTCTTCATTTGGTAATATTGACGGCAAATGGGTCGAGGTTAGTGGCTGCGTTTGAAATATAGTTGAAATTTTCAAGTGTTCATGTTGGTGATGTCAGTTTTGAAAGTGTTGATTGTGGGAAGGTGAAGTGGAATATTAAAAATAGTATTGTAAATGTTAAAAGTGGGATTTTAAGAATGTTAAAACTGATCGTTTAGTGTTGTATACGATAGATTTTTTATTTATCAGTGAATGCACTGAAAGGTATTCGACTCGATTTTGTATTCATTATTGTTTCCATTCGCAAATGCAGAGAGGTAATTTTCATAAAATTGATTTGCGAGTAAAATGGCGAGGCCTTACTCAATTGTTCAATTAGCGATGCGTTTGCGTTCAATTCAGTGAGAGCGGGAATGTACGACTGATTTGTTTGGTTGCTGCTTTCAGATTGTCGAAC